GCCCCGGGAGTGGCACGTAGTAGGTGATAATTCTTTTAATCGCTGAAGAATGAGTCTTGATTTTTGAAGCAGCCAGTGCAGAAAGATTTGCATATGAATCGAACAAATTGCAATTTTCGCTAGTCAGCATTTCTAGATGAAAGCCGAAGATGATTAAATGAGCCCAGGAAGGAGACAGGCATGTCCAGGGATGGAACACCACCCAAAAATGAGAGAAGCCAGCCCGGGCCCCGCACCCACAGGACTCCAACACTGCTGAGCATTGCAAACAACTCGGGGGCTACATGCCGAGGGAGCCCATTGATGTTTCATTCCAGAAAAGGCAAACTTCTACAGACAGGACACAACAGAGTGGTGGCAAGTCCCGAGATGGAGGAGGGGCTGACCACCACGGTGCCAGGGGGAATTACAGGAGGCGATGGAGATGTGATCATGATGGTGGTTACACAACTGTATGCATTTGGGAAACACAGAACTAGACACTACAAAGGATGGCTTAGGCCAGGCATGGTGGCTTATGCCTGTAATCCCAGCATTTTGGGAGGCTGAGGTGGGAGGATCGCTTGAGGTCAGGAGTTTGAGGCTACCCTGGACAACATGGTGAGATCACATCTCAACAAAAAACATTTTAAAAACTTAGGCAGGCTTGGTGGTACACACTCTAGTCCCAGCTACTCAGGATGCTGAGGCAGGAGGGTTGCCTGAGCCCAGGAGTTTGAGGCCACCGTGAGTTACGATTGTACCACTGTCTCCAGCCTGGGTGACAGAGCAAGACCTTGCCTCTAAACAAGAAGAAAAAAAGATGACTTTCTACTGCATCTAAATTATACCTCAAAAACTTGACTTTAAAAAACTATCTGAAGAAACTTTTGTTCCAATTCCAGATGCAGAAAGTTGCATAAAAGAAACAGTGGAAAAGTTTCAAGCTTAGTGATTCCTAATCCTTGCCTGGAGGTCCCTTTAGCACACAGAAGGAGCCTGGAGGCATTAGAGTCTCAGGCCTGGTAAGGGTCACCCGTGAGACTCCCCAAGCCGTGATCCAGTCTCGCCCCCAGCCGTGATCCAGCCTCGTCCTGAGCTGTGGTCCAGCCTTGCCTGCTCCATGTGTGGGTGGAGATGTCAGCATCTCCAGTGGGTACCTGGAGAAAGGCACTGAGGCTGCCCTTAACCTTCCCCAGAGCAGGGATGGGTGGCCACCCTGCCACTCCGAGATGACATCTGATCCTTTAGCCTCTGTTCCCATGGAGGATGGGAGAGGCTGACCTCACTATCTCTGTCCCTTTGGGATGGGACAGATGGGGACTGGGAGGCAGCAAAACACAACTGCAGGTGGGGTGGGCTGTGTCCCGGTCACCTCTACAGACCATGTAGCCATATTTACTCTAAAACCGTCTTTTTTTTTTTTGAGTCAGAGTCTTACTCTGTCGCCCAGACTGGAGTGCGGTGGCATGCTCCCAACCACCGTAGCCTTGACCTGCTGGGCTCCAACGATCCTTCAGCCTCAGTCTTCCAAGTAGCCGGAACTACAGGCATGCGCTACCGTGCCTGGCTAATTTTTGATTTATTGTAGAGACGATGTCTCGCCAAGTTGCCCGGGCGGGTCTTGAACCCGCGAGTTCAGGCAATCCACTCACTTTGGCCTTCCAAAGCGCTGGGATTACAGGCTGAGCCACCAAGCCCGGCTTAAAGCCGTCTTTCAGTGAACTCTTTCTAGAATGTGAATATCTGCCTAAGCCTCTTTCTTTTTTTTTTTTTTTGAGTCGAGTCTCACTCTATTGCCCAGGCTGGAACACAGTGGCATGCTCACGGTCATCACAGCCTCCACCTGCTAGCTTCAGGTGATCCTTCCACCTCAGTCCTTCAGGTAGCTGGAACCACGGGTGTGCGTCACCATGCCTGGCTAATTTTTTCATTTATTGTAGAGATTAAGTCTCACCAAGTTGCCCAGGTTGGCCTTGAATCCCTGGATTCAGGCAACCTTCTCGCCTCTGCAAGGCTCACCAACGTCACTGGTTTGACATGCTGGCCACCTTTCCCTGATACAGGTTAAATTCATAGATGGCAATGAAGCATGCTCATCCAGGCCTGAGACCATCTTGTGGTCCACATCCATTCTGTAGGAGGCAGAGGGACAGAGGTCCTAGGCACACACCTACGTGATACACTCACCTGGCTCTGGGTCCCAGGACAGAAGCACAGAAGACAGTCCAGCAACCCCGCCCTCCAAGACCTCCCAGGCCTGCCAGAGAGAATGTGCCTTCTAGCTGCTTCTGGGCATTCTGTTTGTATCTCATGTAAAGTCTGCTCTAAGGCATGGTTCTACGGTGTCCACATCATAGCAGGATGAAAATCTGGATGATGGAAACCAGACTGAAGGGAATTCAGACTGAAGGCAGTAGAAACCATGGAAAGTAAGAAGTGTACCCACATCTAACTAGAGCTCTTGAATGCTCCCTGGAAGAGTTGTGCAGGCTGGGGCTCAGAGTCTCCTAGCAGCCAGAGTAAAAAGGGAAACAAGTCATTCTCTTTCCATTCTTATCAGTCTGTGATACACGGGCAACACCCTCAACAGGGTGTGATAGTCTCTGGGGTTGCTGGCTGGGCTAGAAGAACGCTGTTCCTGTGCCCTGCAGGTGCCACCTCGCCCTGAGTCCATCTCCCATGTTGATCTTCCCCAAATCAAGCTTCAATCATGCTGCTTCCCTTTCTAGAGTTGCACAGTCTTCCTCTTACCAACAGGAAGGGACAAAAGTTCTTCAGGCTTATCTTCAAGTAGCCCCAGGAACCAGTGCCAAAGTGTCTTTTCCTGTTTATTGAAATCCAGCCACACATCTGGGCTCTGCTTAGGGGCCACTTGAATCGGGGCCTTGCTAGATTTCCCCAGTCACAGCTACCCATCCCTGTTGCTTCCATTCCACAGCACAGGATTCACAGGCGACACCACACGTGGTGACCCTCAGTTGGAGTTGCCTCCTGCCAGTGGGTTATGGAGTCCCCGTGGGTGGTCATGCCAGCATTTAGAAAGACTAGGAAATGGCAGTGTGCATGTCATGACTTTTTATTTGGTTTTGAACATACGACGTGTGTGTGCATGTGTGTGTGTAGGGTCATAACAAAATGATCCTCTTACTAGCAACTGTGGCAAAAAAGAAAAAGTAGTCCAGCAACCCCGCCCTCCAAGACCTCCCAGGCCTGCCAGAGAGAATGTGCCTTGCAGCTGCTTCTGGGCATTGTTTGTATCTTATGTAAAGTCTGCCCTAAGGCATAGCACTACGGTGTCCACATCACAGCAAGATGAAAGCCTGAATGATGGAAATCAGAGGGAGGCAGTAGAAACCATGGAGGGCAAGGAGTGCACCCACGTCTAACTAGAGCTCTTGAATGTACTATAAGCCTCCCGAGGGCAGGGACTGACTTGGGCCTCCATTCCCAGCACTTAGCTCAGAGCCTGGGATGCTTGATAAACACTTGGGATGGGCACTGAGAATCCTGCAATCCGGAACAGCATGCGGACGAGGGCGCCCCAGGTGCTGAGGCTCGACTGTACAGTCCCATGACCAGCCACCATTTCTGGGGACCATGGAGGCACAGGGCCCACTGGGGCCCACCCAGGGACACTGACATCTACTGGGGCCCATCTGGAGATGCTTACACCCACCGGGGCCCACCCAGGGGATGCTGACACCCACCAAGGCCCACCTAGGGAATGCTGACACCTGCCGGGACCCAACCAGAAGACGGTGACACCCCCCGGGGCCCACCTGGGAGATTTCTAATGGAAGAGAGCAGCATGGCTTGGGCCCGCTGGCCTGGGGTCCTCACTCGAGACCACCTTCATCTTCTGTGACATGGGCTGATGACGCCACCATTCACGCAGGAGGGGACATGACCAGGAGGGGCTCAGGTCACCTGGTCCTACTCTCCATGCCGAGTTTGCTGAGAATCACACACATACACAAGCACATGTACACTCACACGCATATACAGACAGACACACAAGCACACACACATGCATGCACACACCTACCCACATATACTCATGCACATACATACACACTTACCAACACATATATACTTATACATATGCACACACATGCACACACCCACATATATGTACACACACACACGCACAGTCTACTCTCCACTTCACAGGTAGGAGTGAGAGAGCCCAACATGGGCAGGTGACCTGCTCAAGGTCACATGGCAAGCGGAGTGCAGAGCTGGGACCAGACCCAAAGTGACCGAAAGTGAAGGGAGAACAATGACACATCAACAGACACACGCCTGGAACACAGAAGGCTCGCCACGCATGAGAGGTGGGTCCCCATCAGTCCAGGACCTGCAGACACAGGCAGCTGAAGGAGCCAATAGACTTGCCTCTTCCCAGTGCCTCCAGCTTCCTGCCCACCCCAGCTGCCTGTCCCCAGAGGCCCCGTGTCAGGACAGCATCTGTTTTGCTCTGCAGAATCTAAAGGGCACTGCAGCTGGAGCACCAGGCATAGGAGCGGATGGACACTGCATCTCGGTCTGACAACATCAGGCCCATTTCAACCCTGTGCAGTCCTACCTCCCACCCAGTCACGAGGTTACCAGTCTCCGCATCTGTGGTCCTGGGAAGGTTGAACAAGATGAGGCCCATTAGAGACCTAGTGTTCCTAATGTCAGTTCCCTCCCTCCTTCCCCTGAAATCCTTCATTTCATCCTCAGACAATTCTTCCAAATAAAACAAACCCCAGTTCCAAAAAGCCTCCCAGATCCTGCAGGGCGTTCGCCTGGTGGGTGAGCTTGGTTCCAGAAGCAATGCAGGTCAGCATCCTGTGCCCTCCCTCCTCACAGGTCATCTGTCCCCACCCCCCCATGAGATCACGGGAGACAGACCCAGATCCTGGCCCCTAAGACATGCCAGGCCCTTGTGCAGGGGGATCTTTCAGATGCCTGTGGGTGGGGGGAGTGGGGTGGCTGCTCATGGGGGGCCCATGTGCAGACACAGTCACACTCACAGCCTGTCAGACCCATCCGACCAAGACCTGGAAGACTCACACCATTGCCCAGATGCCTGCAGGCCATAAGAGTGTGGCTCATGGGATCACCACACAGCAGGAAGGCCACAGGCCAGGCCATGGGAGACCTGGCAGGGGCTGGGTGACCTTGAACAAGGTCTTCCCCTTTTGTTAGAATCAGAGTCTAATCCCCAAATCTACAAGTAAGACTTAAAACCAAGGCTAAGTACCCATCTAAAAAGAAGTTAGGACGACTGGAGAGCTTTGCAAAGCACCACTGCCCTGCCCACGACCCCTAACCCTTCTCCCCCACTAAGCACGCATGAGCATCCAGGTGTGGGGAAGAAGTGTCCTTCGAAAAGCCTCCACCTGTGAATCAGAAAGCAGGTCCTCACCAGACACCAACTCTGCTGGTGGCTTGATCTTGGACTTCCCAGCCCTCAGAACCAGGAGAAATAAATTTCTGTTTTTTATATGCCCTCCGGTTCTTGGTATTTTGTTACAGCAGCACAAATGGATAAGACAAGAAGGAAAACAGCAGCCCTCCACGACCACTCTGATGAGCTGTGTCCCAAAAGTCACCCAATTATGCCTGTCATGATCCTGTTATGACAAAGTACAGGCTGTGGAGTCAGTCCTTGGGCAGTTACATAACCAGCCTGAGCCAGGATCTTCCATCATAGAAGGAAAAGAGGCCCATGCTGGACCAGCTGCCGGGGGATGGAGTGAGCCTTGTGCATCAATGACCAGCTGGTCTAGACCCTGCAAGTGTCTGGCAGAAGCCCCTCTGCCCTCCTCATCTGGGTGAAGTCCATGTCTCTGTCAAGCAGTAAGCACCTATGAAGGAAGGCAGGACTCTTCCTCCCTGTCTCAGTCTTTCAGGCTGCTGTCCCAAAATACCGGAAGCTGGGAGGCTTATAAACAACAGAAGTGTATTTCCCATAGCTCTAGGGGCCAGGAAGTTCAAGATCAAGGTGCTGGCAGATATGTCTGGTAAGGGCCACTTCTGGATTCTCATACAGAGTCCTTCTTGCCGCAACCTCACGTGGTAAAAGGGGAGGGGAGGGGTCTCTTGGGGGTCTATTTTATAGGGTACAGATTCCATTCATGAGGAATAAACCTTGATTTAATCACCCCAAAGACCCCATCACCTAATAGTCATAGGGGTTAGAGTTGCAATAGATGAATTTTGGGGAGACACAAATCTTCAAGCTCATTGGTTTCCCATCAGAGCATCAGCCATGGCCACCAGCTCAAAAAGGGGTATGTCACAAATGTCTGAAAACCCCTTCACATCCCACAAACATCCCCTGTGTGGTTTCCCTGCTCCAGGCCCAGGGTTTGAGGGTACCGAGACAAGCAAGATCCACTGACCACTCGAGAGGCTCTGGGTCTGGGGGAGTGACCGAGTCACCATCCACTCTGAGTAGGAAGGTTGGCATTGGTCCTGTCTCTTGGATGCTCTAGGGAGTGACTGGCTGGCTGGAGTCAGGGTTCGGTAGAGAGTCCCTGATAATGACCAACAGTGCACCCCAAGTAGGAAAGGGAGCCCTCGGAGGCAGAGGGGACCTCTCCCTGGTGGTGCTGAACTTGAACTGCTTCAGGCAGGAAGGCCTGCGTGGCACCCACAACGCCCCCCCCAGAGCCCATTTGGGAAGCCATCCCCCCCGGAAACACCCCTGCACCCTAGTGCCTGGTAAACAGGACCCCACGGAGGGCAACCCCACCCTGCCAGGCTCACACACACAGGAGCTTTGTCTGTGTGGCTGCTGCTGCATCGCACACAGGCGCGGTCCGGACCAGCCTCGGGACCATCTGGGACAACGGGCCCGTCACTGGGAAGCTGCAAAGGCATAGCCAAGACACAAAGCACTGCAGTCAGAGCCAGAGCTGGCGGAAAGGACAAAGCCCCCCCCCCATAACCAGCCCTTCCTCCAGTGCCAGGATTGGAGGGGAGGATTGGAGAGGAGGCCAGGCTCCAGAGAGCCCCAAAAGCCTCCCAGCCACATCCTTGACCTCCAGGGCTTGGATGTCTCCTCTCGTGATCTGTGGGTGGAGAGTCACTCAGGGCCCTACTCATCTTAGCCCCCAAATCCCCTCATTAAAAGGGTCTCCAGCAGGCGTGACTGTCCTGGCAGGATCTGGCATGCTCCTTGGTGTCTTGGGTAGTGACTTCTGCTCTTGGCTGGCCAGGAGGCCACTCATCCACCCCTGCCCATGTGTCAGTGGGAAAACCAGGAACAAGAATGAGAGAGGGGGGATGGGTGAAGTGGCTCACACCTGTAATTCCAGCACTTTGGGAGGCTGAGGCAAGAGGACCACCTGAGCCCAGGAGTTTGAGAACAGCTCGAGCAACACAGCAAGACCTAGTCTCTATTTTAAAAAAATAGCTGGGTGTGGTGGTGTGTATCTATAATTTCAGCTACTCGGGAGGCTGAGGTGGAAGGATTGCCTGAGCCCAGGAGTTTGAGGCTGCAGTGAGCTATGATTGTGTCACTGCACCCTAGCCTGGGTGACAGAGGACACCTGGATAGGGGAGGGGGGAGAGAGAGAGAAAAGGAAGAGGAGAGACACCACGAATCACCTCCCATGCTATTCCTGAAGAGGCCATACACAAATTTATGTCATAATACAGCACCCTCCCCTTGCAAGATATTTAAATAGAACAAATCCACATGCACCTACCTCTACAGAAGCAGAACTGAGGAGTTCCGGGTAGAGCCGCTTTAGCAAGAAGGCACAGGGGAAACTCATTTCTGAACCACCCTGACACATATTAAAGGTTCTCAGTGGCGCAGAAACACTTATTCTGGGGTCCTACCCCCAGAGACTCTGGTTCAGGAAGTTTGGGTGAGAGCCCAAGAATTTGCATTTTAACGAGCACCAGGTGATTCCAGGACAGCTGATCCACAGATGACACCCTTCAGACATGATGGCTCATACAAATATGCAAACAGGTGCCACACGCAGGTGGTTAACTAAACCACCCACAACCAATGAAATCTGCACTGGCAACCCTAAACTCATAGCAGTTGCTCATGAAAAGGCAGGAGCAGCAGCTACTGGACACTGGAGCCAACCCAAAAGGACATTGAGGGAAAGTGTCCTCATCAAGAATCTCAGGAGCTCCAGCCACCCACACAGGAACACACGCTCCCTGCTGCTGTGCCAAGAACCACAAAGGCGCCAGACACCTTGGGAGAATCCTGATTTCAAGGCCCTGATATATTACAGGGACGCGCTGGTCAAGGCTTACCAATGCCTGGTTCAATAACTTTAGTTTCATTGAAGGGGATATTTCTAAGCAGCTTTTGCTTGCAAGATAGAAGTCTAAGGAATGGTGTATCATTGGACCTTGAGAAGCCAAGGAAGAGCTTGCCATTCCAAATTCATCCTCAACCTTCAGGGAGAGCCAGAAGGTTGTTCCTTCAAGATTCTCTGGTAGAGGGAAAGAAAGGCCTGAGGATTGAGAGGGGGAGGGGGAAGAAATCAGTTTCAACCTATTGTGAGAAACCTCAACTTGGCCAGCCACTCTCACGAGTTGCTGTGACCATCACACGGCTGTGTGGAGCCCTGACGCTTTGGGGAGGAAGACCTGGTTTTTTGCAGAGATTGCTTATTTCCTGTCCTTCTAGTCTTTCTCATAGCAATAGAGCCTTGGTTTTTAGCATGAAAAAAAACTACATTTCCCAGGTGCCCTTGCAACCTGACCAGAGGTCAATAGGGTGCAAGCAGTGGTATCACAGGGCAGCATCTGGTCATCTATGCAGAAAGGGGAGCCTCCCCTCACCCCCCACCAACCTCTCATTCCCTTCCACAGGGAACATGGATGACAGTAACAAGAGAAAAGGAGCCTAGGTCTTACTGACTTTGCAAAGGGGAGTCACCTTCTCCATATCTGAACTGTGACATCAGAGAAGAATAAACTTCACATTTGTTTCTGCTACTCTGGGTCTTTATTAGAGCAACTACCATGTCCTCCCACAAAGTCCCACCTCTAACTCCTGTTGCTCACTCTCCCACGATCCTCAGGGTGGGGGTAGGGCAAGGGGATGTCTGACCCCAGATTTGGAGAGGAGCCAGACAAAAGCTGCTCTCATCACCTGCCTCTTTCAAAGCTCCTGGGAAAGATGGAGAAGCAGCGGGTTTCTCTGAAGGGTCATCAGGAGTTTAGGGGAAGTTAGAGGACTGTCCCATGTCATGCCAAACCTGGCTGTACTGATTCCCTGTGCAGTCCCAGAGGAGCAAATGGTTCTGACGTTCTGGACCTGGGTGAGGGATTCGAGAAAGTTGTTCCAGGCTCCAGGTACACATGAGCCATGAGGGACAGAGGAACTGGGGTCAGTTTAAAACCAGATCTGGGTTGGGTTTGTTGGCTCAGCCTGTAATCCCAGCACTTTAGGAGACTGAGGCAAGTGGATTGCCTGAGCCCACAGGTTCAAGACCAGCCCGGGCAACTTGGCAAGACCTCGTCTCTACAATAAATCAAAATTAGCTGGGCATGGTAGTACAAGCCTGTAGTTCCGGCTACTTAGAAGGCTGAGGTGGAAGGGTCACCTAAGCCTAGCAGGTCAACGCTGGGGTGGCCGTGAGTGTGCCACTGCACTCCAGCCTGGGCAACGGAGTGAGACTTCAACTCAAAAAACCCCCCAAAACAACAACAAAAAACAGATCTGCCATGTTCCACAAAAGCTGGGAACTCTCAAGCTACAGACCTGCAGAGCTGGAGAAATCCTAAAGATCTTCCAACTTCACTCCCTCATTCAGAGAGAAGGAAACCAAGGCATGAGGATATAAAATCATGAGTTCAAGGTCGGTTCAATTGCAAATCACCGGAAGGCCAAGGCTTGAACTCAGATGGCTCTGCCCACCCATTCAATGCTCCTTCCAGACAAAGTGCTCCCCCTGCTGGAGCAACCCCACTCCCGGGAGCTTCAGAGAGTGCAGGATCTCACCAAGCAAGCAACCTCCTCTCACCCCAGCAACCCTCAGTGCTCCTGCCCCACCCCAGACCCCAGAGCATGCACTCTGCAGCAGCTGTTCCTATGTTT